CTCTCCAAATCTTATTTCTTTAGTTGTTTTTAACTTTTAGGAGAGTTTGAAGATGGAGTTACGTTTGATGGAAGCCAAACATGAAGCAAATAGAACCAAAGAAGAGACTGAAAGGCAAGCTGAACTGGAAAGAGAGGTCAATTGTTAATTGTTGTTGACAATATTCCTGGATTACTTAATATTCAAGAGCAGCATTTTTTCTGGAATACTTTTTAGGCCAGACTAAAAAAACACTGTGATCAATGACATTTGATATTAATATTTTTCTCTCTCATTTTGCACTTGTCAGATGACTCAGCGGCTGGAAGAGATTCATGATCAAATGTCAAAAACAGAATCAGAATTAAGGGAATCACACAGAAAACAGGTATCTCATGGCATGCTGATGTTAGACTGCATGATAGATAACCATAGATGTCCTGGAATTTTTTGTTGACATTTTCCAGGACTGGAAAGTCCTGGAAAAACACAAAAGGTCCTGGTCCTAAATGTATGTAGATGGTAAGGAGAATTGATTTTTAAATCTTGGGGATGAAAAGGTTGAGGGTGATATTTGGAGTCTTGAAAAAATCAATTTGAGTCCTGCAAAAGTCCCAGAAAAGTCCACAGAATTTGTTTCTGAAAAAGGGCACTAACCCTGAGTAAGGTGATGTCTCTTTTTTAACAGCTTCTGGAGATGAGCAAGAAACACAAAGAAGAACTTGAACAGCAGTTGGGAAAATTTCATGAGGTTACTTTTAATTACTTATTAATTGATAATATTATACTAGAAGTATCCCTAGTCATAATTTCATGTTAAAGATGCAAGAAAATTATTGAAAGCAGGGTACAAATCTACTTACATCCAAAAATATCATGACAGCTCATCTTTTACACATATATTCTTGAATATATATACATAGTAATATATCTACATATTCTTTTTATATATTTTTTAAATGTATATATTCTTTTTATGCAGGAGTTGAAAAAAAAGGAAATCAAGGTGAAGTCTACTACTGATGAATATGAAGAAAGGTATTTTAATTTGAATTCTCAACGAAATCATTGTTTTCAATTTTTGTCAAGAGCAATGATTTGATAAATATTCCAGCCTGAAGGTTGAAAACATGTAACTCTTTGGTTCCAGAATCAGTACTTTCCAAGAAAAGATGGCTTCTCTCTCAAACTCAAGGCTTTACTTGGAGAAAGAAAGGTGATCCCATTGATGAGGTTACTGTTTAATAATACTGTAACAACTGTAATTTTTTTAAGTCAACTACCAGTATCTCTAGAATAGAGCAGTTTACTGCATTCTTGATGATTATGTTTTGGTCGCATCTAATAAAAATCTTTGGAATAGCTCCAAGCTGACTAATCTGGTTTTCATTACTTTCATTGGTACTTAGACAGATGCTGTCTGTGCGTCTACAGCAGATGATGCAGTCTCACTGTGAGGAAGCCATCAAGCTGTTGAATTCCAGTAGAACTTCATTGTCCCCTCTGTCTGGAACACGACAGGTATTCTATAATTATTCTACCTAATAGTATACAGTATGCTGCCTAGAGTATTAAACAAAAACAATGGAAATATCCTTGAGATAAAGAACAGTAAGCTCATTTCTCCACTAAGATTGTCTGAGTGCATAAATATTTTAATTTCAGCTTGTACACAATCAAAGCTCCTTTGCGAAGAATGTCAAGGAGTCAAACTCTGACTGGGAAAAAGACACAGGCTACCAGCCTGGTAAAGGACCAATCACAGCAGCTCTGTTTCAATCTTCACAGGTACATCAACACCAGCAGAAGATACCTGATGAAATCTCAGCAAATTATGTAACACCTAAATTAGCACATAATATCAGCCATGACAGTTCTCAGACTGATAGTGGCATGTACTCAAAGAGTTATCTTAGCAACAATGGAGACATGGTTAGGCATGGGATGCTATCACATGACCAGTCTGCAAATCCAGACTTTTTTCCTCTTCACACTGTCAATGATGACAGGACTGTTATTGAGGGACAGGTAATTAGTTTTAAGCTGTAGCTCACATTTCCTAAAAATATATTACTGGTTGCCTCACTGTCCTCTTTACTGAACCATAAATCACACTAAAATGGCTAACTGTAATGAAAAATCTGTAAATTTGTCTACCAAGTGGAAATGTGCTAATGATTTGCAAATTAGAAATCTGTAATTTGGAAAATGGAAATATGCTAATGATTTGCAAAATAGAAATCTGTAATTTACAAAATGGAAATGAAAGAAGTGCACATGCTTGGAAATCTGTGATTTGCAAAACAAGAACCCCCACAGAAAATTCCACAAGCCAGAAGAATGAATTGGTCAGTTCACCATAAGTGTAGATTGCAGCCTGCCAAATAATACATTGATTACACCTTATAGACAGTACAGCTACAGCGTCTACTAACATTTCAAATTACTTTTGTGCTCTATGGCCTAAAAAATGCATTGAGTTATTCACGAACTTAGTAGAGATTTTGCAAAGTTCACCGCACAGATTTTTTATTTCTCACTTTTGCTAGTTGTTTTTAGGTGAACTTACTGATTCATTCTTTTGGCTTGTGGAATTTTTGGCAGGGATTCTCATTTTGCAAATTACAGATTTCTATTTTGCAAATCATTAGCATATTTCCATTTCACAAAAGGTTTTTGTTTCGTTTTGTTCTATTTTGTTTTGTTTCGCAAATTACAGTAAGCCTCTAAAATGTTACCTGAGGTGTAATCTTTTGTGAACTGTAATTTAGATTCAGTAATCAATAAATTAATAATTTATTTTCATTTTCTGTATAGTCTGTGATCAATGAAGATGCTTATGAAGACAGAGAAGAAACACTTCTCGAACAAGAACTAGATACAGACAACATATTACTATCAGTATTTCATCAAGACAACCATCTTCCTAGGTGAGACATCTGTGGGAATCTCAACAGTGTAAGCTTTATTTAGAGTGTCTGCTTAATACTGGTGTAATAATTAATAGTAATTATGAATAAAAAAAAGTTTTTAACCTGAAACAGAACAGAGTGAGTTATTCAGACCTAAATAAAATTGTATTAATTGTTGAGCTATTTTCATGATAGAGGTCTCATGTAGTAACAAATTAAAGTATGTAGTTTTGTCCACTAGAAGTGTCTATTGAATACAGGTTTCACTGTGTCAAGGGATACAATTAACTAAAAACTAGAGTTTTGATTTATTTAAAAGAGGTTTATGAGAAAGGTAAGGCCTTGTTTAAATTTTATGAAATTTAAATTATTATAGTCATAATCATTATATTCTAAGTTGCATGAAAACATTTATAGACTAATAAAAGTGTTCTTCTTGGAGTAGGACATTTGCCTAAATATCAAATGTATGTGCATGAATTATGATGTAGTAAATCTGGTAAAATTTGGATTTTTTTTGTGATTGACAGGAATGTCTCCCCTGCAGCTGTGACTGAGGATACCATAACAGAGAAACTTCAGCAGCAGGAATCACGCCAGGCAGAATTAAACCACTATGTGAAAATGGTGAATGTTTTCAAAAAAACTGTTAACACTTTGTTTTGTCCTTTGTTTTTTTCTCTGAATTTGTTTTATTACTGACAGACACATTATTCTAACTTTTTTATCTTCTAATGATTAAGGATGGTATTATAAAATGTAATGATATGACGTGGTTGACTTACTGATTCAGTATACTTACTCACAGCTTCTGCAAAGATCACCTGCAGATCAACCCTACAAGGTAACATAGACTCTTTCAGAAAAAAAAACTGGTTACCTTATTCTGTTTTTAAATTCAAAGCTTTGACTTTTAATTTTCTTGCATCTTATTCTTTTTATATCAGGAAAAAGATCACCTCCCTAATGGACTTAGGCTGATCCCTTCATCCAGTGATGTGCAAGGTTTGTTTGATAGCGCTTCAGTCAAACCTTATTCCACAAAATATTTCTGTTTTCTTTGAATTTGTTAAAAACCAAAATCCCTACTACTTTATATTCAAAACCTTTGATTATTTATTTCCAATGAATTAAATGCTTAGTTTGAATAAAATCCTGTTTATCAGAAGGTTTATGGTTTTTCACTTACAAGGGTCAATTTACTCTCAAAGTTGGCTCCTTTTGGAAATTGTCAACAAGTGTGAGGTTTAGTCCTAGAGTTGATGGGTCAATACTGAAGAGGTTATTTTCCTTTTTAAGTGAGATTTTTACATCAGGCAAACAGTGTTATCTCTGCAGCTATGTGAACTTACTTACAATTATGTATGTTGATTCTCTTCCTTTGAACCTCAGACAGATACTCTAACTCTTCCTCAGAAGTAATTTCTCCCATTCATTCAAATGGTCAGTTTGAGCAAAGACATCTGATGTCCTCACACCACCATTCATTCAAAGACTCAAGTTCACATTCCTATCAGGTATTCCACTTGGTAATATACAACACCTCTCATGGACCAAGAAGACAGGGCTAGGGATACATTTTTGTATTTTCATTGTGTATCTAACTGGTTTAGGAATGATTTAAAGGCATGCAAAATGGCTATAATTTACTGACACTTGTGGAAAACAGAAACAATTATTTCAAAATCATTACTGAGTCACCAGCTCTTTATCAAAAATAATTCAAAGAAAACAAAATATTTCAATTTCCATTGGCTCACTGAACCTTGAGGCAATCGACAATAACTAATAAGTGGTTTTTGCAAAAAAATTAGCATTTAAGTCTAGCAGGTATGCAGTAGGTTAAAGCCAGTTAAATCAACCAATCAAAGTGCACATTGTAAACTCTGATCGCACTAATTGATGTTTCGGAAAGTGTCCTCAAACTCTATCATATTCTAGAATGGACTCATGTTTCTTCTAAGTAAATTCTGTTGAAATTTGGCATTCTAAATTCTCCAAAGAACATGCACATTGAAACACTCATGGGGTGACCCTGATCATTTCACAGGAAGTTAAACATAAAGCACACCCACCACAAGCTGCCTTCACAAAAACCACAGTCACACCAGGTACACTTAGCATTCCAAGCCAAGCCAGAGAAGATGTTGGTATTACAAGTCAGGTAATTGTTAAATTGTGTGACTCAATAGCGTTTGTGTTTACGAAATAAAGTTTTGAAGATATTAGGGTTTGGTGGTCCTTCGTAATATCTCTGTTCCAATTTCAATTTAATCAGGTACCATTCCATGCACCACACACTCGAATAGGTCAAGTTGCACCTCACACACCACCCCGGAGAGAACGAGACAGTGATGACCACCCTCCTCTTCCAGGAGCATTAACTCCTCACCAAGTTGGTCAGCTGTCTAGAATGCTTGGACTATTTTCAGAACCTGGTCAGCCACAGATTACAGCTGAACAACTCTTTGCTTACCTCAGAAGAGTGCAGAACAAGTGAGTTCTCCTTTAACCCTTTAACTCCCAAGATCTCATTAGTAATTCTCCTTACTGTCTGCCAAATGATTCTCATTAAGTTAGTTAGGAGAATTTGGAAAGTGGCCCATGGGGCTGGCACTTAACTCTGGTTTCCTTAACAGGAAGTGGCTAGGAGTATTGTTACTCCCCCCCGGATCCCATCACAGGGTTACCCCCAGCATATTTGCTGGTACCATTTGTACACCTGGGTGAAGAGAAGCACAGTGAGAGTAAATTGTCTTGCCTAAGAACAACACAATGGCCCCGGCTAGGGCACTAACCCAGACTACTTGATACAGAGTCAAGCGTACTAACCATGAGGCCACTGTGCCTCCATAATTGATATTTTTATTTATTCTCATCACTTGTCTGTATGATATTGTATAAATATAGTAAGGAGAAATTTTGCCTTGGTCACTCACTGGAGTTAAAGGGTTAAGGTGCATATTGTGACCTAAAAAACTAGTTATTTTCTTTGAAAGCTAATCTTAAAGTGGTCAGATTTAATTTTTCCATTATTATAATTGTGACTGTAAATCATTTTAAGTATGCTTTGTTACTGGCTATATTCCCCTATCAGCAACCCACTGGGTAACAGCCTCACAACATCAGCAGCATCAAGCCCAGTCAGTACCAAGACCCACAGCACACATGAGCACCATGTTCCGGGACATAGTGTAAGGAATTCTCCTTCCCAGGCTCTGCCAAAACAACACATGATAGCCAACAAGGCTAGAAGAAGTCTGGACACTAACTCTCACAAGAGACAGGTAGCAAACTGCAGTCACTGCTCCCATTAACTGATTGATGTCTGCCTATATAAGGTGGTGAAGGGCAGAGTTAATGTATCAACCTGTCTGATCTTTAATTGAAGGGATTCCTTTGCCAAGATAAATATCACTGACTTAATTTGATCTAAGAGAGCTCTAAGATCATCAGATAACATTTTGAAATTTGCATCAAATTTTAAGTATTTTTCAATATTTAATTTTATTTAGTATGCAGGGTGCATACTAGCATACCAGTAGCCTGCGTTGCAGGTGGTCTGCAATTTTGGGGGCAGAGAGAAATATCTCTGCTCCCAAAATTGCAGACCACCAGCAACGCAGGCTAACATACCAGTAAATTTAGTTTATAGCCTATCATGCTCAGAAGTTCACTTTTACTCTGTGGTAGAGAATTCAATGGGCAAGCCAAATGGAGTGAACTAAAAAAATGTATTTTTTTTTCCTCTTTTCTTATCTATTTTCTATTTTCTATCTTCCTTCAACTGTAGGGTCCTTCTGTTAGTGGTCTCCCTATTAATCCACCTGGAAGCCAGGTTACAAAATCTGCTGAGCAACCAGGCCTGACCAGAGCTCACAAACAGCCTGTCAGACAAGTATCAAGTCTAGTGGGTCCTTCCCTTAGGAACCCAGCTGGGGTGCAAGATGGAACCAAGTCAGCAGCAAAAGTAGGACTACAAAGCAGAGAACCTAAGGCCAAATCTGCTGCTATAAAACAGACTAAGATCAGTGCTTGGAGATAGGCTGATATTGATTATTTTATTTATTTTCTCACTTGTCAATATGGTTTATGGAGCAAGGCAAATATAGCTTTTATTTTATAATAAATCATCATTTGAGATATCTTGTGATTAATACAGTTGTCTTTCATTCCTTGTTTCATACATTCTTACTTACCAATTTAATGGCACTACTAATATATAATACTTGCCAATGGCAAGATTAATAAAGTAATAATGAATAGGAACTAATGAAAAAAATAAATTGCTTATTGCCTCTGCTAAAACTCATAAAACTATGAGCCCCAAAAATATTTTAGAGTAATCTGTCAAAAGAGGGAAATCACACCAGAAGTAATATAACTTTATGGTTTGCTTTAGTTTTTCTTTTTGAAGTCATTGATCATAACAAAATAACAGCACAAATGTTTTGGCCTGTCCTGGGAGCAAGTTTTCTACCAGGAAAGTTCTCCATGTCTTCTCTATGTTAAACAGTTCTTTGTCAGAAAGGAAAATGAACAATAAAATTCAAATCAATTTTTTTAATTTTGGATTACACATTCATATCAATTAAAGATAGTCAAACTCCTTATATATGAGTCCAACTTGGAGGTAAACAACTCGCTTTGGATGGGTTCGTTAAGTTGACAAAGAGGATTTTTTACCACATACTCAACATAAATCTGAAAATGAAAAAAAAGAAAAACACTCATGATAACTAAAAAGTTTATTGTGCCATTACCAAATGATTGATAAAGCACCTCCTGGGTGTAGCCATTGTTAGTTTTTTTACAACTACATTACAAATGTAATTTAGTGTTAACAAGTAAGTTGAAAATGTAAATTTGCCACCATAAAGAGTTTAAAGGCTGACATTTCGAGCATTAGCCCTTCATCAGAGCCATTAGAGGAATTGTGGGTTGTGTGTGGGTTTATATGCAGATAATGGAGTTAGGCTATTGTTGGGAAGATGGTGATGAGAAAACAAGAATAAACTAGTTGAATGAAAAGTGCTCATTCATACCATGGGGACTAAGAGTGCCTATTTGGAAGATGTATTTTTTGTTCAAGTGTTTTGCCACTTTCCCAACTGCCTAGATGTAGGGAAAGGCTGCAAACTGCCATATGTTGTTTAGAATAATTAGGGAGGTTAAAGTGTCTAGCAACTGGTTTGGATGTGTCCTTGCCATTTCTTAGTACGTCCCGAAGGTGTTGTTGTCTTCATGTTTTATAACTTTTTGCATTAAGGGAAAGTTATGCAGTAAATGACATTGGCAAAGGTTCCTGTAAAGTGACCAGTGATCTAAATGGATCTCTTAGGTTCCGACATTTTCTCTACATTATGAATGAAAGGAAAAGTTTTGCATTGTGTATGAGCGCATTTGAGAGTTCCAGGTTGGTCACTGGTTTAAAATGAACTTCTGACCAAAAAGTTGCCAATGTTTTTGTCACATTTGAATGAAATTAGTGGAGGTTGCAAAAAGATAGTACCAGTCTCTGAATTGTTTTGGAGTAATTTCAAGTTTTTAACAGCATGGTTGTGAGGGTGAAATGTGAAAGTGAATGGAATGTGGTCAATGTTTTCCTTCTCAGCCATTTGTAGTGCTGATTGTTGATAAATTTGTTGGGCATGGTGGTGGCCTGCTTAAACGACAGAAACAGAAAGAAATGACAAGGACGCATCCAAACCAGTCAGTAGACACTTTAATCTCCCCAATCATCCTAAACAGTATATGGCTGTTTGCAGCCTTTCCCTACATCTAGGCAGTTTGGAAAGCCACAAAACACAATTCCTCCAATTGCTCTGACGAAGGGCTAACACTTGAAACATCAGCTTTTAAACTCTTTACGATGGCCAATTTATGTATTCAACTCAGTTGTTAATACCAAATTACCTGTTATACTCTCCCACTGATGCAGCATCACAATTCTTTAGAAAATTACCCTCTGTATACATTACAAATGCTATACTTACCTTGCTGTATATATTGAAGAGGACATCTTTGATGCTTCCAGCATTTAAGTCTGTGTTCAAGATGAACTTAAGACCTGTTGGTGTTTCATAGAAATGTAACTTGTATTTACTTGTCCGGTAATTTAGAAAGCCATCTTTTCTGTTTATAAGTTAAGGATTCCACCCATGGAAAGGTATAAGATATCAGTACATCAAAGTCTGAATCAGACTTGAGAAAATGCTACCACTTCACGGTGGCATTTATTGTACTTCAAGCATTAATGTCTCTTTCATCAACAGCATCAAATTGTCCTCAAGCTGCTGCAAAAGTATTCCATCATCTCAAGTATGGTAAATAAAGGTAGAGAACTTAACATGCTGTAAATGATTCCACTCTGTTATGTTCCAGATAAAAAGGATGGAGACAAAAAATTGCCGGAGCATGAGGCTTGAATCTTTATTACACTTATCTATGGTTATGGACCGAAGCAGTTGATGATGTGCTTTATTTTTGTTTCAAAAATGATTAAATCTATCCCTTGCCTGGGCAGTACTTAGTGTAAGCCAAACTATTGTCGCAAGACCCCTCAGAGTGCTTCACCCTACCTCAAATCCCTGCACCACCCAAGACTTTACATATAACATCTAATGATATGTAATCAAAATATGTGTAGTGGATACGACTCAGATGGTGACATTCGTGCCACAAATGACTTGATAGAGTACAACATACCATACATTAGCTTGAATTCCTTGATGTAAAAATATGACAAAAAAAGTTTAGTATTATCACATTTCAATTAAAAGGCATTCAGTAATTGTTTGGTTATAAATTTTTTAAATAATCTGCAAAAGAAGAAACTTCTCTCTCATTTTGCAAAAGTTTAAGAACACTACAAAGACAGGGGGCTTGGAAACTAGGCAGACTTTGAACTCAACATGATAACCCAATATCTTTTGCAGATGTTGGGTCATGTTGGTGTGATGAATGTGTGCTCTCAACCAAACAAAGTTTCCAAACTTTTAGAAAGTCTAACATATAAAAACACAGATACAAGGTTTGATAATTCATGATATCATGTGAAAAGCCCATCCAAAAATTGTTTTAAATATATATTTTTAAAATAATCTGCAAAAGAAGACACTCCTTTCTGAGTTTGCAAAAGTTTGAGAACACTACATGGAAGAGGGGTTATCACATCAATTTAACACATCATTGTAATTATGCTCTTGACCAATCAGAGTTTTTAAAGTAAGTCTAATGTAAAATAATGTGAATAAGCCATGGTGGCCAATTTACATTATAAACTCAATTTATAAAACCATATTATCTTTTTTATAGTACTCCAACACCACAGTTTCTTAAGAAACTCACCCCTTTCTTTCATTTGAATTTAAAAAGTGCTTTACCGCGATGAAAAATAAAGAGTGTGACAACACATTTATCAAAATCAACAATTCCTTTGCTTAGAGTAGACCCACCTCTTCCTTGGACATGTTGCTTTCCTTCTTTCTGTTCCAGGATTCGTAATAAAGGCAAGTTCCGTTTCGATCAAATATGTAGATATTATAGATGGTCATATCTATTTCCTTTCTTTAACGATAAATAATGGTTCAAAATATTACGTATCGAATGTTAACACCGCCATCTTGTAAGATTTGCAG